GCTTTTAAAGCATTCTTTTTTTCGAAATTGAAAACACTTTTTTTCCTAGGTTATTTTTCAAGAGCTATGCAGATTTATGAAAATAATAAACTGTCTCGTTGAAACAATTTTCTTTGTATTTAATCTTCATATTAAAGTATATTTATTCTGAAATCAGTAAGTCATAGATTAGTTGAAGTGTCTAATTGCCTAAAAAGGACGGTTGTTAGACACGCGCTTAGATTGGTGTAAATGATCGAATCAGGAAATTTTAAGACACGTCAGTGTCTAAAATCGGTTATCCGTTGCCATTTGAAGTGTCTAAATTGAACATATTGGAACCAATCAGAAATAGTCCGAATCATCTCATCTAGACGGATGGCTCGTCTTATTTAAGCACTTCATATGTCTTGATTTTTTAGAGTGGACATACTTAGATGATTGACTATTTTTTCGGATCTTTTGGTCACAGTTTATTCTAGTTCAGGCATCCTTTCTCCATGAACGAGAAAACTTTCTAAAACTTGAGTTGTAAACTTCTAATGTATCTATAAAAGAATATCTGTATATATTGATATAATAGGAAAAAACCTGTTCATTTCTTCTAAATAAGCAGATGACGCATGATTTTTTTCTGAAAAAACTTTCGAGTGTGACTAGATTAAAGAGAAAAAAATAAAAAACGATATATTAGAGTCGGTTGGTATAAATTAAATATACCTTTTAATAGCTTCACTTTTCTTCTATAACATTTTATTTTGCATCGGATAAAAAACTTTTCTATACCAAACATGTAGAAGAAACTTTTTTCTACACAAAAATGGTTTTAGTTTTTCAAAATATTGCTCAACAACGAAACTACGCCTGTTTTTCTAAGAGAACCTCTCGAATAATTGATTTAATCTACGTGGGATGAATCAATTATTCTATATATTTTTAGCTGGATCATATAAAATCTAATCTTTAAAAGATTTATTGTAACGAAATATGGATCGAGCGTTTCATTACTACTGCAGTATATATTTTATTGTTGATCAACAATTAGAAACTGGCCTCTGGACGTAAACGTAGTCACTGTTTCGCGATTACAATTAATAAGGTTACTTGGTCGAAAAGTTGTTTGGCTGAATTTTGGACTGCTGATAATTTAGTTAATCGTTTGGCTATTGGTGAAGAGGCTTATCATCCTCCATTAAATTGTGATACTGGAGAAATTGAAGAATTGGTTGATCCTGGTCATCATCATCATATTTTTGTTGATTTTGTCGACAAATATTTTTTGGACGAAGTTCGTGAAGTTCTGATGGTATTTCTTGGTGGTGAAAGTTATAGTTTGGATCAGAGATGAGCGAGCCGCGGTGTAAAACCGCCCCGTCCCGCCCCGCCCCGCCGGCGGGGCGGGGCGGTGACGGTGCATGACGAAATTTCGCGGTTTCCCCGCCTTTGTATAACCTTGATTTTTTAAATATACTCAGACTTTTAGAGACATCTTTTTAAAATTTTAAAATCTTTTCACAAAACTAATCAATAAAAAAAGACTTGTTAGCGCAGCTCCAGAGGAGCTCAAATGTGGAACTCACATATATTTTTTTTATTTTTTGTCCTGATGCCTTATTTTTAAATTGTAAAATACCTTTTTTCCGAATACGTATGAAATCATTGATATATTATATAAAAACTAGAGCCTTTTATGCGCTGCTGAGGTCTGTAATGGTAGGGGTCAGGGTTACCAGATCGAAAATTAAAAAATCAGAAAAATTTTTCTAAAAATTGGGAAAGTCGGAATTTTTGTTCTCGAAATCGGAAGAAAATCAGAAAGTATTTTTCCATGCTTTAATAACTAGTCTATATATTTTCGATAGCTTCAATATCCTTTATCTTGCTTCTGTTCATCTTTTCGAAGCAATATCAGAAATGATATTTCATAAAGAATTAAAGAAAATATCGATTACACAATTTACTCATGATTGAGAAATCTACATAAGTAATTTGAACAGGATCACATTATTTTTATCAAAAATGCTATAAGCAACTTGACGAAACAATAGAATCAGTATTGTAAATTCATACACACACATGCATTTCACAAAACTTATGCAAAACAAAACTAAGACTTATTCTGTATAATGTTCGTTTTTGTTCATACTTTTTTATTAGCTCGAATACTCTTCAAAATATCAGGTTGAGATAACAGATATTCATAAAAATGTCCACAAGTATAAACAGAACTCATTCCGATTTTCAATTCTGCAACAGCTAAATTAGTACCCATACGATTATGATTAGTTTTATGATATCTGTGATGAAACAAAAAAAGCTCAGAAACGAAAATATTCTTAATTAACACTATAGTAAACGAACAGAGAAAGCTAGTTCATCGTGATAGAAAGCTGGATCTTAATTGTCTGTAAAACATCATAGTTTTATTGGAGGATATGCTTTCAAATCACTGCAGTGTGGTTTGTTGAGTTCATGACGCTTCACTACTCGATAACTATGGTGAAATAGATCGCTATATATGTGTGGTGTCGTGTCATGGTTAAACTATTCTAGAATGTCCTAAGAACTTGAATTCCCAAATAAGACTTCGAAAACCGGAGAAAAATTAGGAAATCTGAAGGCGATCGGAAAAATCGGAACGTCGGAAAGTCGTTGGAGAAAATTTTAAAAAATCGCAATTTTTCCTGCCGTATCGGAAGATCTGGCAACCCTGAGTGGAGTGTCTGTAATGGAGTGGGGGAAGGGAGAGAGCCGCCAAACCTCGAACTTAAAACTTACAATCACTATTTTATTCGAAAATATACGTGAGTTCCACAAAATGAGTGACTGTATTATAATTGCCTTTCATTTTCATATATTTATTTTTTTCTATTTCGGAACGATGTTTATGCATTTAAAATATGCCTCTTCATCTCATGAAATGAAATAGCCATTATGAAAATTTAATGAAAAATTTGTCAATAAATAGTTTTTTAAAACATATTTTTGACGGGGCGGGGCGGGGCGGTGGCGGTTTCAATGCTAAACAGGCGGGGCGGTGGCGGTGCGGAACTTTATCGGCGGTGCGGGACGGGGCGGTGACGGTGCGACTTTTTTGCTGACTCGCTCATCTCTGGTTTGGATATTCAGGTAAGGGTGTTTTGATAGATTTTGAGAATTATCTTTAGTTAATCTATCTGAATATGCCTTACGTTTTAGGTGTGTCGGTCTCCCAAAGCTTGGTTAATTTATTTATCAAAGGAAGATAAAAATCCTTTTTTATTAAATGTCCGGGTGTCCGAATTATCATTGTTTGCAAGATATTGGTACCACGCGCGAACGAAGTATCGTGAAGTTCGAGAAATCGACAAGGTTGACGAGTTCGTATGTTCACTCGGGTAGAACACTCGTTTTGCCCTCGGGGTCATCGAACAGCATGTTAAGGAGCTTCGATCCCGTGAAGCTCTTCGACGACCTGTATATGAGCCCAACCGTCGTTGCCAGATCACGCGGGATATATTAAATGTATTAAATGATGGGTTTAGTCATTTATATGTTGATAGTGCTCCTGGTTGTGGTAAGACTGAGGTGATTGATTGGTTTTTAAAGGGCAAATATTATTGAAAAGCAGGTGAACCATCTGCGTTTCTTTTTGGTACGTTAGCTGATAATCTAGAATTTATTTGGTTCGAGGATTTCGATTTATTCAAATACTCGGGTCATTTAAATACTCTTTTATCCCTAATGGATCATAAGGAGACTACTATTAGTAAAAAATGTGCAGATGATCGGACAATTGTTTGCCCTGCAAGACACATTTATATTAGCAATTATCATATTCCTGGTGATTTTCCTATGTTTCAGAGAAGAGTCAAGGTGATAAATGTCGATCACAAGATGTTTGAATGTGGTGGATGTGGTGATCCTACACTCATACTACTGTCCTTATATGTACTTCTGCTAGTGGAGAGTAAGATCTATTATTTGAATTTCATTATACTATTAGATTTATTAATGCAGATATTTGCCTCCATACATTCTTCACCAAGGAGTTCGTTTGTACGACGCTTGATGTCCACTGAACGGTTTTCCAGGTATGAAATATAATGTTTCACTCTATGGTTAGGTAGAAGTACCCATCTTTTACGATTGGCTGTCTCGTTAATTCATACCTGCCGTCGAATCTGTCAAAAAGCCTGTTCTTCTGATTTATGATGGTCACTACACTTATATTTCAACACATATAATCAAACTGGCAATGGCTAACGGTGTGCGATTGGAATGCCTACCGCCTCATACTACAACAATTTTGTAACCACTCAATGTTGTTACTCTGGGTAAAGTCAAGAAGGCTTGGTGACAATTATTGGGTGTGGGTGTTAATCCTTTCATCATCTATTTTCCACACCCCCCCCCCCCCCCCACAAATATGAAGAAGAGAAAAATAAAGGATGCGTATAGAAGCAAGTAAC